TCCACCGTTCGTCCTTCAGTAGCAGCACGTCCACCCAAATAAGCAAGATAGCGCATCAGCATCTTTGTTGTCTCAGTTTTACCTGCACCACTTTCACCACTAACCAAAATAGAATTCCTTTTTCCCTCATTTATCATTGCCCTGTTTCATATGCACAGCCTTGGATAAACATATGATTTTGGAGGGAGGAAATATTCTCTTAAGCACCACAGCAATAAAGTAAACCTGTATGCCACATCTGCCACAGCAAATACATGAGGACTTAGCTCACCCAATGGTGCACCTTTGTATTGTGTCATCATGTGGGAATCATATATATGGGGTAACCTTTGGAAGGGATTTATAGCAATTAGAATATTTCCTGTGTAAGTCTGCCAGGGGAATCCATATCAGGTAAGAACATTATAACACAAAAGAGCATTTGCACTGTAAAAAAATGGATAAAAAATGAGGTGCAGCTTACATAAATTTCATTCAGTTGGTATCTGGTTGACAAATTCTGCAGAACTCCAGGCTCATGCAGATAAGAGAGCTTTGTCATGTCATCGACTCCTCCTGGAGGTGTTTCCATATCTTTTGGATATATTTTTGACAAATTTGCAACAACCTTACAAATCACCATAAATGCACATTAAGACTTTGATATACATCTTGAAGCATTAAACAATTTTCTTGTAAGCAATTTATGTAAAGCAAAAAAATCATGGATGTATATGCCTAAAATGTGGCTATTTCACGCTAGAGAGCATAAATGATGAAGACTAGCAATGCAATAGTTCTATAAGATCTAGAATAAAGCAGCATTATGTAGACAAAGTTACACAATATGCAACCAAAATAATAAGGCCATCTGAAGATCATACATTTCAAGCCTCACTAGCAATTTTGCCTTTAAAGAAATCATAAGTTAATAGACTAGTCAAGAAGCACCAACCATGTTGTAAGTAGTTCAAGCAAGTGACCGTTAATCACGATGTTCTTCATCCAAGTATGACCGAAAATCATTTGTTCTATTTCAATATAGAATAACAGATCTAGCAATGATATCAGAGAAACTATCTCAAAATCTACTTTCAATAAAGAATTAATTATCAGAGGAATTTAGAACATAAATATTGTTGTATCCATGGACTACCGACCAATAATTACAGGACATATATGTGGGTATCTACCAATCTGCCTGGGTACCTGTATGAGGTCTCATCTTGTGCAAGGGTGTACTATCACATTCTACATATCGTGATTGGCTTGCAGTGGGCGACAAGTGTCCTTAGCTGCAAAAGGATGACCTTTGATCTCGTCACAACCAAGAAAATATGAATTGCTTTTCTCTTTAAAAAAAATTATAAATTTCAGTTTAGACGTGGGCAATAACATGATATCCATGATGCAGTCCACATCTAATATAGGAACATTGAGGGTATCACACTCCATTTCATTGATCCCTGACATGTTTGTCATGGATTGTGATCTCTAGATTTCTTCTAGATGTATTTGGAACAGTGACATCATAGTGACAGCAACATCTCTCCTTATCTTTGATTAACATAATAGGTTCAGATACAAAGAGAAGTTCAAATGTCTTTAAAAGAGGGCCTAGCACGGAACATGTCAATGGGCAGCTAGTCATTAGATGTCATCTAAAGATAGAAAAAAATCATAAAGGAGACTAGAATAAACATCTATTGCACCTGATAAGGAAAGAACATAGAATTTATACCTTTTGGTAATTTCATCAGGAAAGATAGTGGAACGAACATCGTTATTCTAAGCATTGGCAGTGGTCAGGGAAAAGCATAGTGTTTATTAATTTGCATGGAAACAGAAGAATGAAAAAGAATGATAACATGATGGAACATTGATATTCTTGTTACGAATGTTATGTTTGTAAATAAATAAAGAAGGATGGTTATTTAGCGGTATTCACTAAGTTCAACAAAACTGATATAGCACATGGAATGCAACTTTAGCAGAAATTTGCAAATTCAAGAACAAGGTATAAACAGCAAAAGTTAAACATGTAGGGTCACTTAAATATTATTTTGTCTTTGTTGAGAGTTGATACATCCTATTAGTTCATGCATTATTGCGATTGGTCTCAGGTTCGAGTCCACGTGTCAGCACTATGCATGTCATTTAATGTAATAGAATTTTTTTCCAATGTTTTTGAAAAAAAATGTAGAGTCAAATATGGTACATTAAGACTTGTTCACCTATTGTTGGAGTAAATGTTGAGGAAGATAATTATGAAGTTGATTAAAATAAACCAAAATGGACGTGTCAAGATGAAACTTGGAGAAGTAAAGATGAGGTTAAACTATGGAAATTATTTTAGATTGAAATATTCTAAAGCATAGATTTGTATAGCTTGAATGAAAAGTACCTCAACATCAAGTTAGAAAATAATAGGAAAGAGAGGAGAGGATGTGGAGAAAGGAAAATCAGACAGTCAGATGACTAGGAACGTGAAACCTTCTCTTAGCATTGAAACATAGAATTGCTTGGGGACCATGTATTGTTTATTGAAGCTTGCCAGGCAGAAGTCATTCTTACATGTAGAGAGTTGGAGTTACAAACAATCCATGTACAAACGTCATCAAGCATTTCTAGATAAGGGCAGATAAAAGTATGGATTATGCCAGTACCAGTGACCTCTTATTGATGATAAAGCTGACTTGTATCTTCTCTCTCCATTGCAATCCCTCCACAGATCATATAATTTTCAATAAATGCAGAATATACGTATCCAATTCAGTTCAGCATGTAGATGAACAAAAGGAATCACCCTCAACTCCTTAGGATTTTGACTGTTTAAGTATCATTAAGAATAACTAAACCATCATGGCATAACTACATCAATTGCAAGTCTAATTCACCAAGCTACTGCAATAATGGAACAACATGTAAGAACCACAAATTTATGAAAAAAAATAAAGGGAAAACTGAAAATTGCTGCCAATCATAAAGAACACAAGATGAGAGTAAAGTAATCTAAAAGCTCTTCTCATCAGATTTGTGGATAATTCGCTATGTATTTACTTATCACAATGCTTTAATAAATTTATGCGCAGCATTAGCACCCAGCTTACCGTTTTCCCATTGGAAGCCTGGACCTCAGCATTTTCACCGGTAATCTTAGTGACCAGTCCATCAATCCAGGCTAATGAAGCATCTTCAATCCACACATGAGAACCTATAATTATATTAACTGGAGTTCCCTGCAACAATTAGGGGGAAAAATTGTATAAACATTGAGAGTTTTCTAAAGGAAATAGTGCAGTATCTATACCTGTAATCTGTCAACCCGAAAACAAATAGTTACTAGCAATCATTTAATGACGAGCCAGAACAAAGCTTTGCAAAGTAATATATATATAGCATCTGTCTAGAAATAAATGTTGGGCCTTGGTGTAATGGTAAAGCTGCTCCTTGGCAATCCAGGTGACCAGGGTTAGAATTGAAACGGCCTCTCCACTTGCACGGAGAAGACAGCATATATTGATTCCCCCCAGACCCCACATTGCATGGTAGGGGGTGACGGATACGCACCGTTTTGAATTGGCCCGCGTCCATCTTCATCGTCTCAGGTTAAGGATGAAGAAGAAAAAGGAGAGGATAGAAGAGCTGGGGACGACGGGAGGAAGCACGGCCTGCAACCCTGAAACGGGGCGAGGGAGAGGGCCAGGGCGGGGGCGGGGGCGTCTTTGCAACCAAGGTGATTTAGTACGCAGCCGTGCCATTCGAAGGAGCCGCGAGATGGCAGCCACCAGACCTCCCGTGACATCCGCAGGCGTGGGTGGTCGCCATTCGCCGTTGCCTTCCTTCCCTAGCGCCATTTCCGTCGGAGCTCTCTCTCTCTGTGCTCGCTCTCTTTTATTTATATATATATATATATAGAGACACGATTGTCCGAAAAAATATCCTTTTTATTTTTCTCGAATGACACTTCCCTTTTCATAATTTTCAAACAATCACCCTTTATTTTTAATATTTCAAAAAAAAAGCTTTTAA